GGCCACAGCCACATCTCCGAGGGAGGTGGCACTCCCAGCCCCTGGGGACAGGGTGGGAGTGAGGGCTGGGGAGGAAGGCTGTCCCCAGAGTAGATGGGAAAGTACAAGTGTGCAAAGAGGTAAGCAATTTGCTGAAGATGACACAGCAGCTGCGTGGGAGACCCACGATGGGAACATAGCCGTGACTGTCACAGCTGGTGCTCTTGGCCGCACAACCACCTTCTTCCCCTGAGCCTGTGCTTCCTCAGCTGTAAAATGGGTATCATTGTAATACACACCTTGTAGGTTTACTTCAAGAGTTCCACTAACTAATCAAAGGTAAAGTGCCTTGCAAATTGCCATGTCGGTTTGTCATTACCAGATAAGATCTAAGGGCAGAGGTGACAAAAGTGACCCCTCCTTGCGGCCTTTTGATAACAGCCTGCAAGGTGCCGATGTGCTCCTCCCTCACTCTCAACCACAGCACTTAGTGAGTCCTGGGGAGCTGAGAGCCAGCCTTCTCCCTAGGCCACTGCGCCAGGAAAATCACATTTGTGTGAGAGGCTGAGACATGCTAATCAATTATTTTTGTCATTTGTGCCACAATATAATGACATATTATTTGTACCTTAATATAATACTTGGCCTAAGTCCACAGCCACTGCGTGCTGCCGGTTCCCCTCACCCCATTCCTCGTCATGGTCAGGAGTTTGACTCCTTGCATCCCCCCTCGCACCCGTGTTTTGGAAAGCTCACTCGTGTTCCCCCAGCGGGCTGCCACCTCAAGGGCAAGGTCGAGGCCCGGAAAACACAGCTCTGCACCCCTCCAGGTGCTTTCTCACCTGCTTCCCCTTCACTCCACACAACAGCCCTGCCTCAGAGCAGGTGCCAGTTTCATGTATGAGATAATGGGGGGTGGGGGGGCGGCGGTCAGAGAAGCTAAGCGACTGGCCAAAGAGAGAAGAGAGAGAAGCCGAGGGGCCGGCCGCATGTGTCAGGCTCGGTTCCTCCATAACCCAGTGAGGGCCCAGGCATGCAGCCCCCCACTGCCCCAGGGCAGTACATGGTCTGGCCTAGGTGGGAAGCAGGGAAAGGCTGTGGCCACTCTAGGGTATCATGCGGCAAGGAGGACCCCTGGAAATACACCACCACTTCCTGGAAGAACGCTGGGAAATGCGTGGGCCACTAAGGCATTTGTAGAAAGCTCAAAGGTTAGGACAGTTAGCTGCAAGGAGAGTAGACCCTGTCTCCACCCCGGGAAGGATGTGCGGAGACGCGGAGGCAGGGGTAGTGGGAGCGGGCTACTTGTTGCTCAGACTCTCAGAAATGTGCTCTGTGCTCCCAGGGCCCAGGCAGCAGCACATCAGAACAATGGGAGCAGCGTGGACCCACAGTCCTCATCTTCCCTATCCCCAATATCAGGGCTCAAGCTAAGGAAAAGGACCCTGGGTCTCACTCCCAGCCTGTCACCAAGGCACAGTAGAGAGCTCTGCTACCTTCTTCTCTACAAAAAGGCATGAGTGTGTGTGTGTGCATGCGCACAGGCGCGCGTGTGCTGGGGCTGGGTGGTGGAGAGAGCATTAGAGACAGGCTGGATATCAGACTGTGTCAGAGGAGGCAGGGCAAGGATGTGTGAATATTTCCCATGGGCCACACTGCAGAGAGCTCACCTGGGGCCATTTTGAACCCAGGACAAAGATTATCCCATCCTCTGTCGAGTTACATTGCCTGACCAGGCAGTCCTCCTGGGTGACTTCCAGGGTGGTCACACTGGTATCCTTGCCTTGACACTGGAGGATGTGCGGCTCACTGACACTCCTTTCCCGTGGCTGTTCTGCTGCTTCTGGCCCACCCAACTACAGCTTCTCAAGTAGCTGTCATGGTTTGGGTCCTTGAGTAGTCCCCTTGAAGCTCTCCCTCCAATGGCCTGTTTAAGGAAAATTCCCCCATGTAATTCCCTCTCTCTCTCTCTCCCCCTCCCTCCCTCCCTCACACCCACCCCCTTCTCTCCTCTTTGGCAGGGAGGATGTACAGCTTGCTATCTTCAGAAAAGTCCTCTCTCTCCAATCTTTCAAATTCCATTTCAACCCTTTACTTCCTGGAAGTAGGTGATGAGCTAAAGGTAGCCCAGTTTCCAGACACCCCCTCTTCAAGTCTTGCATAGGTGACTTCATATCTCACTCTGGAATTAGGAGGATGTTTTCCACTTACTGTTGTATTGCAATCAGTGGGGCTCGAGAAAGAATCCCATTGTAGCTTCCTGCCCCCTTGCCACAGCACTTGTCTTGGGCCCCAAGCCTTCCATATCTTCTTCCCAACCAGCATAACTGGATTTCTATCAGATGCCCCGGCAATCTGACCCAACTGCACAAGAGAAGGCTCACCTGATGAGCAGAGGTACGATTTAAAGAGTCTGGACCAGGAAGCTGACACCCTTGTCATAAGCCTGCCTTTCTGGCTAAAGGGCTGTGGGACCTCACTCGAGTCAGCTACCCTCTCTGGACTTAGGTTTCTCAGGTGGGAAACAAAGAGCTTGAATCAATGGTCCCCACACTCCAGGATGCTCAGTTGGTCGGGGGATCATTCCATACCAAGGCTGGGTCAGTTCAAGGGCAAAGGCTGATAGCTCCATGTCCATCCAAGGGCTGCTTTGTTCCAGGTGACAAGATGGTCACAAGATCGTCACAAGATCTGTCTCCTGCCTTAGGAACATGTACTCCTCCAATTCAGGATAGAGACAAAATGAAAGGGCAGGCCCCGGGGCCCAGGAGCCACAGGGTGATGTCAAGCCTCAGAGGGCCAAGGAAGCTGCATGTTCCAAATAGTCTTATCCCAGGACCTAAAATAGGCTGCAAATGGTTTCCAGGCCCCCTCTCTATTTTTACAGATAAAAATAACAAAGGCCCAGGGATGTTCCCAGTCATAAATCAAGGAGCTAGGACTATTTCTGTCCCCATCCTTTGCCCGGAGTTCCTCCTGTGATCTCCATCCATCCTGTCCTCCCCATCCTGGCCTTCCAGCCACCCCACCTCTGGAGTAGAACGACGTCCCTCAGCCTTCGGACAACAGTTCAGCAGCTTGGCCATGCCCACATGAGAACCCAACACCGCCTACAGGTGAATAGATAGCATTCAGGGGCGTCCTGGCAGCCTCTGCGGGCCAGCTTAGCCCGACTCCACTCGCAGGCTGATGGCTTCCCAGTCTACAGCAGGCTGCCCGGCTGTCCGGCCTGCAGTGTTTCTCCAGGACTAAACACCCCCAACTGTAAAGTCCTCTGTGTAGCTGCAGGTGAGGCTTCTCCTTCAGAGATTCAGGGAATACCTCTCAAGGCCCCTGGGAAGATTCAAGGAAACCCTGTAGGTAAAGCACAAAATGTGGCATGTGCCAAGTTGTAGATGCACAGAAGAGAAGACTTGCCTTCCCCTTCCCCCCACCTGCCACACATCAAAAGCATCAAAAGCTAGACTGCCACAGGCTCTTTTGAGAAGGTTTTTTCCATTCTGAAGCCCTAAGTCAGCTTTAAGGCCAGCTCGTGGAGGGACCTCGGAAGACACTCGGTCCACTCTGAGATCCTCAGTCAGTTCCCTGCTAACTAATCCCAGATGGTGCCCCTGGGGCTTTGGTGTCATGTCCAGTCTTCCACTGACCTCTGCAGGTCACAATAGGATACTGCAGGCACTGTCAGCTGCATCCCTTGCTCAATCCCAGGAACACCAAGCACCCTTGCTTCCCAGACTCCAGACAGTTTACAGATTAGGACAGTGGGGCAAGGACAGATGTCTGAGGACAACACCTCAGCATAAGTGGTTTACAGTGCACAAAGGACTTGCTTGTTTGATTTTCTTAACCACTTTGCCTTGCCTCTGTTCCCAAGCTCAGAGAGAATTCACAGCCATTATTCAGCCCTTATAGCCTCACTAATAACAGCTGACCCCTCTAAGTCTTGGGCTAGTATCCTAATGTTCTAGAACACTCCAGATAGTCAACGAAATGAACCTGCATGGATTTCCATGTAAATATTAGTTAAATGTATAATGTTCTTCACTCTTAATTGTGCTGTAACATGGCTGGCATAGCTAGAATATTCTGAGGAAAGGAATTTTGTAAGGAAGTGTGTGTGTGCGTGCATGCACATGTGTGAGTGTGCTCTCTAGAAATGAAGGCTGCCTAAGATATGACAGATATTAGCATTTGGTGAGATTATTATGATTCATAAGCATTTCTCACATGCCAACCAGTTGACTGTTTCATTTATTAGTGGCATCAAGCACTGGGGTCAACTACATGGTTTACACAATTCTCCCTCCCTGGCCTGAGCCATGGCCCCATCTGGGAGAAGGTTGGGTGTTTGAAGCAGTGAAGGCGCATGACAATGTCACATCTTCACCCAGCACCATACAGCGATGAAATCACCTGTTGGAACAACTAGAGGTATGTTTGCTCCTCTCCTGGTCTCCTTACCAACCTCAGGAATGGGAGAATCTAAGCAGAGTTCATTAAGCCCAGATATCACATCACCGTGTGGGAGCCACATCTGATAGTTGAAAATCCCTTATATAACTGGAATTTTTAGGTCATATATTTATAGGCTTTCAGAACTGGCAAAGGCCTTGGAGATTGGTCCAGTTCAGTTCTTTCACTCTACAGGAAAATAAAGCACAGAAAAGAGAAGTGACAGACTGAGGTTACACAGATAGAGTCACTGCTGGAATGAGAACTCAGGCTCCTTGACTGTGATTCTTCTTGCTGACCTTAATTTTGGGAGCCTCATTTCTAAATGGAAATTACTCTGGCTTTGAATGAAGATTTTCAATTTTTTATAAAGTTTATTTGTTTTCAGAGAGAGAGAATCCTTGCATGGGAGAGGCAGAGACAGGGAGAGAGGATCCCAAATCAATCTCAGTGTACTGTCAGCACACAGCCTGACATGGAGCTTGATCTCAGGAACTGTGAGATCATGACCTCAGCCAAAATCAAGAATTGGACACTTAACCAACTAAGCCACCCAGGAGCTCCTCGAATGAAGATTTTTAAACCTGATTTCTTTTATTGTACAAACGGGAAGAGAAAGAAACCAACCACATTGTAGGTGCTCAATAACTTGGTTGGTTGGCTTTTGATGGTGTAGAAAAATTTCCTTTCTGCCACTTACTAAGATTAGATCAACCTTGAATTAGTGTCATTGTTTATTCTCTTCAATGACCCAAAGGTGGTTAGAGGTTTGAATCTCGCCCCACTGTCCCATTGCAAATTTGACTATGTGTCTGTGGTTATAATATGATGTTCATTGGTTTGAAGGAAAGCCTTTCTGATTGAGATTGGAAGCCTCTGGAGGTTTGGGGCATCCTCTTTGAAGGAAGGTACTGTCAGCACCTGAGCTTATACAGCCTGTCCTGTGATAGGACAGAGCACATACACCTATTATACATACATGATTAAAGCAGACATAAAATCTAATTGCATATTAGCCACATGGCCCTAAAAGTTCTGAATATGCTTATCATTATGCTTACAAATCATATTTTTGATCAAAATCTTCCCATGAAAACAATACAAGATCTTCCAATGCATCCCGCGTTCCTCCAGACACCATCCTGATGAATCACGATGTTGTCGTGCTGTGTATAGATCCTGATCTGCAGACATGTTTCACACTCCACGGATGATCCAGCATAGCATCAGCAGACTCTTCCAGGGGATATCTCTTCAGACCCTCACAGACCAGGGTTTGCAGTTTTCTGCAGGGCCAGTGATGCACTAGGAAGCAACAATAGAAAACTCATCACTGGGGTCTTCCCATAGCAGAGGACATGTTGCCCACTCCAATGCACATGCCACCTCCCACCACTGCCGGCCACCATTCCAAGACCAAACACCCCTCTTCAGTCTCAGCGGTTTGAAGGGCCCCTGGCACAGGACCCCCTAATTGCCTAGTCATTCATTTACTTTTGCTAAGCACTCTCCATGTGGGAGGCACTCTAGTAGGCTCCAAAGGGACAGGACCGACCAAATACAGAAGGGGCCCCTTCACACGTGGTACATACAGTCCTTAGAATTATGACTGATTCATAGAATCAGTTACTCATGCAAACCCACTGCAGGGACTTAACTCAGTGGTGTGTTGTAACAGAGCAAAGGGACTTGGATCACAACAATTGCTTTAGGTCTGAGGACCCAGAGGGGCTCATTAAATCAATGAGTTCTGAGTCAGATTATCTTCAAGGAGAGAACTTGGCCACCTGTGTAAGCTTATTGGGAATCATCAGCAACTCATCTCCCAGGGAAGGGGGTGTGGGCAACTGTCAGTACGTGGCCATGGTGAGAAGGTTCTGGGCTGCGGAAAGGTTGCTGCAGAGCTGTGGGCATCCTCGCTGCCTAGAAGCTCCACACATGGTCTGGTTGTCTTACCCCATAGCTAAAGCTACTGGCAGATGAGAATGGCCTCCCTCAGGACCTCTCTGTCTCCCTCACCCTTGGCGCTAAGGCCTGAAAAGACAGATTTGCCTGCTCTGAAGGCTCTCCTGTAACTTCTCCATTCCTAGAACACCTTTGGTCCATGAGTATCCATTCTACCTCGAAACCCAAAAGGCATATCAAATCTTCTATCAAACACCCAGGAAGAAGTCCAACCTCAGTTATCAGGAAGAATCTGGTTCTGCTAACTCAACACAGCCAGTTGCTGCAAAGGCAGTTGGAGTCCTATGTGTGCTGAGCCTGCTTCGGCACAGCTCAGAGGTGACAGTGGAAGCAACGTCCCTGCATGGTCTTTTTGGCCAGACATTGTCCACTACAGGTATCACAGAGATACTTCCCATGGTCCAGTGACCACAGAATTCCTGCTACATGCTGCTACATATGCTAAGGGAGTAACCAGTCACCACATAATACAATCAGCTGGTTTCCTAAAAGACTGCAAAGTTTTCGTGGGCATCCATGTGTGCCAGTATCAGCATGGCACATGGCAATCACAGAATAAATGTGGTGCAGCTAATTCATTCACTAACCCTCCTTTTCATCTCCGTCTCCACAGCACTCACACAGTGGTTTTCACGAAGAAGGGTCTCCAAAGTGCCAGCGATGGACACTAAAAGACTAGGCTCTTCTGGACTTTTACCCATAACCCTCATCTTCAAGGAAAAAAAATCTGTGAGTGATTTAAGCTGTCCACGAAAGGACACTCTTTCCTCTAAGAAAGCCCAGCTAACAAGCTTCAATTTCTTGCTGTTTTCCAGCAAGTTCAAGGGAGTGCCTCAATGGCACAAGGAAAGTACCATGGACCCAAGACTATCCAGCAGAAAGAGAGCTTGTCATCCCACTCTCCTCTCTGCCCAGCCTCCCGCTACTGAGTGGGCGCTCGAGGGACCTCATACCAACGTGGTGAACTTGTCCACGCAGGCGTTGCGGATCTTCTCTGGGGTGGCAGGGCTGTCTAGCCGGAAAAGCTTCTTCATCTTATAATCCGTGTTCCCAGCTCGAGCTGCACGGATGGCATCCTGGATGGCGAAGAAGATGGAGGCTGCTAGGAAGAGGGGCGGCTCGCCAACGGCCTGGATGGACAGAGCACAGGGCAGGGAGTCAGGCAACAGGACCCAAGCTCTGCACCCAGAGGGCTGGTGACACCAGGAACCTCAGCCAGCCCCAGGGGGCCACAGTCAGCAAGACAGGAAGAATATTCACAGTTCTTCAGGGCTGAGAGCAATCAAGCCAGTAAATGACGCAACCTCAATGGCGTAACACTTACCATGTGATTTGTCTCTGATGGTACCATGCAAATAAAATGTACCATTAAAATTTGTTTTAAATAATTCTATTTTATGGACAAAAGTGTCTGACATGAATTTGGACGCTTTCCTCAGTTATAAGGCTCGGGGAATCATCTACCTGCAACTCTGACACCCTCATTTACAGGCACCATAAGTATATTTGGAGGCACCCTAATTATACTTACAGCGTCACCTGGGATATAGGCATCATGACAAACAAGAGTTAAACATTTTCTAGCAGAATTTGTTTTGCTCCCCCAAAGGACAGACCGGAAACTACCTATATCAAAATCACTAGGGATGCTCTTTTTTTTTTTAATGTTTATTTCATTTTGAGAGACAGAGACAGAACGTGAGAGGAGGAGGGGCAGAGAGAGAGAGGGAAACACAGAATCCGAAGCAGGCTTCAGGCTCTGAGCGGTCAGCACAGAGCCTGATGCAGGGCTCGAACCCACGAACTGTGAGATAATGACCTGAGCCAAAGTCAGAAGTTAACCACCTGAGCCACTCAGGTCTTCTAGGGATGCTTATTAAAAAGGCATGTTGTGGGGTCTTACTCCAGACCTACTGAATCAAAATTTCTAGGGATAGGTCCCACGAAATGTATTTTTATCACGAGACCACAGTGATCCTGATGCATGCTAAAGCGTGAGAGTTGATGGCAAGATCACAAAATGTCATAGACCCAACCACAGTAAGTAAACCATAAGATGAGCAAATGGGTGTGTTTCACTGGTGACAAGTGATTATCTGTCTTCCTTTTTAGATCTAGGACGATATCAATCAGCTTACCTGATTTTCAACCATTTTTCATACTTACTGGGGACAGGGAGGAAATAAGGGATGACTATAATCCTTGAGGCATGCAGATCAAGTTTAAAGTCAGGTGCCAGCAACTGAAGTAGGCAAAAGGGTTTGCACAGAGGTATTGCCCCATATGCAGTGAATATGCTATTCTTGTTAGATAACAGGGAGGAGTGTGCATCTGTGGGGTCATCTTTAGGACCAAGCATCAACATGCACACCTGAGACGTGGGTGTTGGTCAGGACTTGAGCTACAGGCCTAGATCAAAGGAATCTCTCCAAGTGCACCCAACGGAGCTGGCTTTGACCACACAGATCTGGTGTCATCCCAGTATTCTTTTTCTCAGGCAGGGACTGCCCACCGCTCCGTCATCCTTGCCGAAACTCGTGTCAAGTCCCCTGGTCTCTTCCAGACAAGCCCCCTGTAGACCCACACGGTGGGCGACTGGAGCCCCTCCTGACCCCCATGGCCTCCCACAGTGCAGACCCAGGGCAACAGTACCTTGGACGCATAGATGGCCTTCCTGTTGGGGCAGTCACGGAGCAGGGACACCCGGAACACACTGGGGATGCTGCCAAAAGCAGGGATCTTGTAAGTACTGGGGCCACGGGTGTGCAGGCTCCCCTCGGGGGAATACTGCAGCTCCTCCAGCGTAAAGAGGCCGAGGCCCTGGACAAACGCCCCTTCCACCTGCAGGGCAGACAGAGACCATGGCCACTCTGCCTCCCCCTCCCCAGGACGGATACTGCTTCCCACAATAGGCGCCAAGCCCCACGGGGAGTGGGCCTGGAAAGGAGCTGAAAACAGCCCTCCACAGCCCACCTGGCTCCTCCCAGCCTGGGATCATCTATCCGGGCCTTAGCCAGGCACTGGTGTAGGCAGAGAGAAGGCATCAACACTGAAGGTTAGCTGTAGAACTTGTCAGCCATTCCAGAAGGGTCATACAGTGGTAGGCATAACTATTCATTAAAATCTGCTGTAGGGCAGGCGGAGATGTTCCTTCCAAGCTGCCACTGTGGGAATGGCCACTCCAGGCTGAGAAGTGGGCTCCCAGGCTAAGGGCTGCAGAGTGTCCCCCCGGGGACCCCGCAATTCCTGTGTGCTAAGTGGGACCACGTGCTTTTAGGCAGCTACACCCGAGAGGAGGAGTTTCCTGGACAGTAGATTTAGGCATTTAGAACTCCCAGCCCTGCCTGCCATCTGGGAGAAGGGGAGCCCCTGCTGTGGGTTACAGAGCTCTCTTAGGGGCTGACCCACATGTGTGTTCTCCCAGCTGCCCCTCTCACGGAGGATCCCGTGGGTGCCCCACTGCCAAATTAGTGTGTTCTGGGGGCAGTCCAGGTGCTACTCATCTTTGTGTGTGAGGTGGCTCCCACAGTGCCTGCCCCCAGGAGGGGGTCCCCCAAAGGTCATTTAATGAATTAATGAACAGATGTGACTAATGGCTACGTTTCTGTATACTCAGTAACTGTCCATTTTTGAAAAGTAGAACTTATAATTACTACCAGATGCTCAGTCCTTGATGCCTGGGTCTCTTGACCACCATTCTACCCAACACGCTCATATTTTTCAAAAATGATTTTCTTTGAGCCACGCCTTAATTCCTCTTGCTCGAACCCCCGTCATTTGCCCTAGTGCCCTCTGGTATTCCATGTTTGGTAGCATTTATTTCTAGAAGAGAAAACGTGTCCTGGGTGGAAAAGGAACAAGGAGGGGAAACTCCTCTGACCTCAGATCCCACTGCCTGCACCCCGATCCCAGATTCAATCTGCATTCCACGTCGCATTCCTTCTCAAAGTGTGTCCACACGTGTGTGTGCATGGGTGGGTGTGTGGGTGTGTGTACACGTGCACCCACTGTTTTCACCATTTATCATCTTGCTCTGTGAGGTGTGAACACCCTTTCCAGAAGTGACATTAATTTGTCTCCTGCCTCAAGAGTGCACTCTCCTCTATCTAACTCCTGCTGGGGGAGATTCACTGCATACCAGCTACAGACCTGATTAAAAATGGCATTGGACAAAATGCATTGGTTGGTAACAGTAGGAGAGGAAGGGGCACACCTGTGGCCAGGTCCATCTCCACCCAGGGCACCCACGTGCCTTACCTGACCAATATCAATGGCAGGGTTCAGACTGGAACCGACATCCATGACAATGTCTGTGCGGAGGTTCTAGAGTGGATGGCAAAATAAAAAGAGTGTGAAAAGAAAGGAATGAGCAGAATGATAGATGGGTCTCGGTGACCCTTAAACTATTGTGTCAACGCAGATAGCACTTTCAGAAGCAGAGTGTCCTGGAGGTGCTCAGACAGGGTGCTCATACCCCTGTCAGTCTGCACGGGCATCACCAATGCTGAAGTTTGGGTTTGTGGCCACTAGACAGGGGATGGGAGTGACCACGCTCTACTGGAATCAGAAGGAACTGTGCACACACACACACCCATGAGCAAGAAGCCTGGTTCCCAGGCTCCTGAGGCTCTCAACCTGAGCCTGGATAGACCGTGTAGGGAAGGGGACAACAAACGGCATTCATTCCATGGGCTGATTGCATACTGTGCCCTGTTTTTGTAGGACCTATGAGATGATTATGCTGTTTACATTTTTAAATAATTTTTTGAAAGTTTTATTTATTTTTGAGAGAAAGAGACAGAGTATCAGCAGGGGAGGGACAGAGAGAGAGGGAGACAGAGAATCCGAAGCACGCTCCAGCCTCTGAGCTGTCATCATAGAGCCCGATATGGGGCTCGAATTCATGAACCATGATATCATAACTCGAGCTGAAGTCAGACACTTAACCAACTGAGCTACCCAAGTGCCCCAATGGTGTTTACATATTTAGATGACTGGCAAAAATAAGAATATGTTGGGACATGTGAAAATAATATAAAATTCACATTCGGTGTGCACAAATCACATTGTATTGGATGTGCCGTGCCCTTTTGGGGCTATTCTTGTGCTATGGTGATGGAATTGAGTAGTTGAGGCAGAGTCTCTCTGGCCCAGAAAAAGCCACAAATATTGGCTCTCTGGTCCTTCATAGGAAGTTTGCCAGGCTGTGATGTCAGACATGATTTTCCCAACCAGAAAGCGTGTCTCTATTGGTTCTTGATGTTTGCAATTCCCTTGTTTCTCTTCTCTTTCCTCTAACTTAGTACTAAGATTTTGTACACTTCTTACTTTATGATCCCCAGTTAAGCAGTCAATTTCCACTTCAGAGCAAGCTACCCCATAGCTGAAGTAGTGGAAGGCATTCCCTGAGTTTGTCTTAAAGCTGTAGCCAAGGTTGGGTGTTCTGGAGGAGAAAACAGAAAACACTGCACATGTATTAACATGAACATGCCCTCCCACAACTTACACACACACACACACACACACACGCACACGTGCACACACACGGCTTGTCCTGCAAAATCCTAAGACACCAAAGGTTTTATTTTTTCATTCATCTGCTATTCAAAAGAGTCCGTGTGTTTTAATATTTTGGACCTGTTATTGAAATCCAGATATTCCAGAGTATAATCTCTCATGTCTGCTCAGTTATACCAATGGCCATTATGTGAATCGTTCTGCACAGCCAAGTGATATACAGTATCAGCGTGCCGGCCTCTTTGTGGTAGAAGGCTGGTGAAACATTTGCCCAGGCTTATAAAGGACGTGAAAGCCACACCCCAGAGAATCTGCTGGATTAGAATTCAAGGTCTCAGAACCAAAGATCCTGCCTGTGCCATGTCCTGGGCTGCTCATCTTTCTCCAGGTGAAAGTTAAGGTCAGCATCTCATGTCAGCCTGGATGTACCTTTAGCTACTTGCCTGCATTTCTCCTTGGCTACTGGCCCCTTCTCAGTTTCAACAAATGATTTGAGGAAAGTGCTATTAATAAAAGCAGGTGCTCTCTTCTACTCTTTTTTTCTTCTTTAATCCTGAGTATCTTATTCAATTCCGAGTTCACATGAGCCAAACATGTGTGGTAACATATTCTCCCACCCGGAGTTCATATACTCCACACCTGTGTTGTTCTATGAATGACACAGAATGATGTGAGGTGACAGGATCGGAATCTGCATGAAAACAAAACCAACTCGGAGCTGAGGGAAAAGGCTTCTCCCCAGAGAACCCACCACCTCCTTTGACCTCTGATGTCACCATCTTCACCTGGGTGTTCCTGTATCCTACCCAGTCTTATCCACTCTGATAGTGAAATAAAAACTTCTCAGAAAATCTGCTCTTGTTTCTGTTTGTGCAGGTCAAATATCACAAGGCCCAGGGAACACTAGCAAAACCTGACTTTGCCTAAAATGCATACGGAACTATTCTTCCAAACCCACTGATCTGTGAAAGAAAAGGTCTTAATGAAGTTTTCCAGAGAAATCTAGAACTTTATGGTGGATGGTAAATTGGATCGCATCTTTTTACACCCTCTAAATAGCTGGGCGGGGTCCCTGGCTCTTTGTGCTGCTACTGGGTTTTTTTTTTTCAAGTAGTTTATTGTCAAGTTGGTTTCCATATAACACCCAGTGCTCATCCCCACAAGTGCCCTCCTCCATGCCCAACTCCCACCTCCCCCCCACCCCATCAGTCCTCAGTTTGTTCTCAGCATTCAAGAGTCTCTCATGGTTTGCCTCTCTCCCTTTCCCCCACCATTTCCTCCCTTCTTCTCCCCCAAGATCCTCTGTTAAGTTCCTTCTAATCCTCCTATATGTGCAAACATATGGTATCTGTCCTTCTCTGCCTGACTTATTTCACTCAGCATAACACCCTCACGGTCCATCCATGTTGCTACACATGGCCAGATTTCATTCTTTCTCATTGCCATGTATTTTCCATCATACAGATAAACCATATCTTCTTTTTTTTTTTTATAGCTAAAGAACATTTATTCATTTTTCGCTAAGACTTTATCTTGAGGACATTTAACTAAACTGACACCACCCCCCACCCCAACCTGAAGAAGGGTTAGTATAGTGAATGTTATAAAGAAGATATGAACAGTTTGAAGGATTGGAACATTAACTGACAAACAACTTCCATCTAAATTATCTTAAAAATGTTTAAGTAAAAAAAAAAGGGGGGAGGGGGAGAGGGGGCAATGGGGATTTCAGATTGAACAAGATCCTCACATTTCATCTAATACATTCAATCCTGGCTGGAGTATACCAAAATGGAAACAGGATTCCTATAATACAAAACTTCCACTACAGCACGCTGTACACACCTGCGTTCCAAGCCCACCCCTGTCCCCTACTGCTTCCAGCTCAACTATTTCCCGGCCTGTTGGGCCTGCCGACGAAGGAGCACGTAGATCTTCTCTTTAATCCAATCTTTGTTATATGGCTGGTATGTCTGGGTATCAGCTCGGTAACTGAGGAACAGAAAGGTAATAAGCAAAGTTACACGTCGTGTTTTTAAAACCCCGAATTATACCGCCCAATGATGGCACAGGTGTGCTGTGTATATGTTTATACGTGAACTTAATGAAAGCATAAAAGAGCTGCTTACGTTATGCTGACTTTTAAGCGACAGGAACTTTAGACCGCCTAGTGCAACCTTACAGCAGAAAAAAGAAACCAACATCTAGAGATCTTAAGTTAAATGCTCAATGTGTTACACACCTACCTCTTGACAGAGTAGGACCAGAAACTGTTCTTTCTCCTACATAGTTACAAGTTTTATGGTTTCTTTAGTGATTAAATAAGACAAAAACCAAACACTGGTACAAACTTGGGATTTGCTAAGTATGTTTACAATTAATGAAAAAAATCTCTGAAAACTCTCT